CCGGTGGTGGTGGTCCCCATTTTCAGTTGATTCCTTAGAGTTTTTTTTGAGCTTAAAAAGGTTTAATGGTGAAAGAAGAAGACGAAGAAGAAAGTGGGGAGAGTTGACTAACGACTGCTTTGATTTGTCTGGTCTTTGTAACGATTTGTCCACAGTGACTGACTCCCGGGTGATTGCCACGTCATCATTGGTGAATTTAAGGTGAGGGAGTTTCTATGCACTGCGGAAAGCAACACGCACAATCGTGACGTGGCACGTAATTACTGGTGTAAAAAAAACTGGTGTTGACTCTTGGCACTCTACCCTACGCATAAAATCTTTCATTTAATTTAATTCAAAATTAATATCCAAATCTTGCGTATAATTTTATTTTTGTTCTGATGTGGTGACCCACGGGGTAAGATGGGATGTTCTGCGAAACGGACGGCTGTGATATGAGACTGACCCTCTTTTCATGCGAAGCATATGGTGGACCTTTTGTGGACCGTGAGATGTCTTTGTTTATTGACCTCATATTAGTATTTTATCTGAAATTCTTGCTTAATTAGATTAATTAAGAAATTTATTAGGGTTAAAAATATAAATTAAAAATTAATATATATTATATATATTGATGTAGTGTAGAAGATCCACTAAAAGATCATATAATATCACCCTCTTCTTTAATGGAATCTCACCAAAAAGTTGACTACAATAAATAATACACACTAACCCAATTCATTACTCACACTTTCTAATCTTATATATTCAAATATAATATATATACTTCAAAAAAACATAATCTTTCATCTACCCATTTGACTATTTTCTTAAATTAAAATTTACGTTACAAATATATATATATATATATTAAAAATCAAATTATAACAAGTAATTCAGATATATCAATTTCCATAAATGTTTATTTTATAAATTATGGGATTATATAAATAGGTCTCGTGAAAATCTATACGGGTCAATTAGGTATATGATAATTTTTATGTTACTAAAAAAATTAGAGTTGGCCTAATATAACGCACTATTTATTTTCAGTACATCACAACTTATTAAATATTTTTATCACCTCACGATGACACATTGCCATTTGTTGTTCTTCAAAATTCATAGATTCGAGGACAGATTTAAGTTTCGTGGATATTTAATTTTAATTATGTTATTGTCATAATTCAAAAAATTTTATATTTATTTATTTATTAAAATTTCTCTTTTTTATGCACGAAAAAATTGTTCATAAATACTCTTACCATTAAAGAAAAAATTTACTTTTTTTTTCAATTGATACTATAAATATTTTGTATTTTTATAATAATAATAATAATAGTAAATAAAATGGTAAATTTCATAACATTTATTCGTGAGAGGATTGAGAAACTATATTTATAAATTTTAAATAAATAAAATAAAATAAAATAAAAATAAAGATGTTCAAAATTCATTGTTCTCGTGGGGTAGATTGGTGGGTGGAGAAAAAAAAAGTTTTAAAAGAATACAAAGGGAAAGGAATTCATGTGAATAATTTCTTTTTTAAAACCAATTTTACTTCCTATTGTGGGCAACCATAGACAACTATTTCGTGCTTAGAAATATTGGATTAGTAGTACGTCAACGAAGGAACTTTAAATCGTTACGAAACTTAATTCAATTTCGTCGTCCAATCTCATCAACAAACTAATTAAGTTAAATTAAATTATTAGTTTCGTGAAATTAAACGTTATACATCAGTTATAAAATAAATTTTTTCGTATTTAATATAAAATTTGAAACTACGAGATTTCTCCAAACACCCACTAAAGAAGAAACAAGAAACAAGCAAGTGAGTGAGTGAGTAGTAGTTGTATTGGGATTTAGCATTTGTCACCTCCATTTTCTAGGTCAAGCATTAAATTGATTTTGTCATACCCAACCCTACCAATTTCACTCACACCAACTTTGGCTTGCTTCAATTAAGTCATCCATATGGCCACCCCAAAAAATTACTACTTTATTATTTCCAACCCACCGAAAGATTCAAACTTTATTTTTAGTTTAACTCTTGAAGTTATTAGAATTAGCAAACACTAATTCCATAACCTTTCGTGAAGCGATTAAAAACGATACTACACCAAACTCAACTGTAATCCACCGTGCATGGGAAATATTTCTTTTGAAGAAGTTTGCTGACCTTGTCTCTTCATTTTCACACCTGTATTTGCTGCACATCAAATTCTCACACACACCCAGGAAGAAAGAGTGGAAACAAGCAGGCCATTAACTCACATTAATAACTCCCATATGCCTATCTTCTTTTTCTCGTAGAAAAACCACTTTGAATTTATTGGTGCAGCTCAGCTCAACTAACCTCCCCCACCATCACCGCCAGTAGTCTACCTGGCTCTTTTCTCTTATTTCACCCTTCTCCTATGTATATATAAATAAACATATATAATCTTATAAGCTAGTCAGGATAGAGACATATATATATATATATATATCTATGATCTATGTCTATATGTTAGTGTAGTAACTCTTCATTGCTGGAAGCTGAGCAGTGTGTGTGAGGTTTAAAAGTGAGGATAATGTCGGCGTCAGCTGCATACACAGTTAAGGTTGAGGAGGGAAGGCCGGCCACGGAGGAGAAACCGGCGGCGGGGCCGGTTTACAGGTGCATTTATGCTAAAGATGGTCTCTTGGAGCTGCCTGCTGGAATGGAATCTCCATGGCAGTTTTTCAGGTATATATATATATATAAGATCAGTCTCGGTGAATCTCATGCTCCATCCCCATTTGGTACAAATATAATGTCATAGAGTATAATATCAAATACTGTTAGAATTAGTATATGCCGCTAATGTTTTTACAGTGTCAATAGCATAAATGATGAAGCAAATGAAAATTCTTCCTGTATGTATAGATGTTGGGTCTTTTTAGTTTCATTCATCTTCTTTAATCCTGCAAATGTGTGGTATATATGTATGTATTTATGTATGTAATGAGGTGGATTTGTTCTTAAATCTTACACCGGCGGATCTGATGAGTGATGTGCTCTGTAAACAAGTTCTCATTGTTGAATCAAATGGCTGATCTTTTAAAATTTCAGAGTATAAATTTTAAAGCTTAATGTAAAAAAAAAAAGATAGGAATAAAAAAAGTAAAAAATGGCCCATGCAGGTCTCGAACCTGCGACCTTCGCGTTATTAGCACGACGCTCTAACCAACTGAGCTAATAGGCCAGTTATTTCTATCATTCGTAGTTAAAAAAATTCACAGTTGAATTTCCCTTCTGAAGAGACTGCTACTGCCTGCAGTGAATCAGTCAAAAGGAACCCAAATAACCAGATGCTAGGTCGACGTCAAGCCAACGATTCAAAGGTACATCTCTTCCTCTTCCTCTGTTTGGCTCCTGAGAAAATAAACTTCCGTGCAAACCCAAGAACTCACTTTGGCGAGAGACAAAAGAAAAGAACAGAAAAGAAAAAAGATCCTTACATACTAATTAGCTTGAATGGAACACTTTCAGCAAGTTGGACCTTACGTGTGGATGACATATCAAGAAGTTTACGACAATGTTATTCGGATCGGGTCAGCCATTAGAAGTCGTGGCGTGAATCCTGTAATTTACTCGAATATAAAACTAACATGTATATAATACTATACTTGCGTCTGGTTGAGGATATGAAGTTGACAAACCTTGTTTTTACAGGGAGATCGATGTGGGATATACGGACCCAATTGCCCTCAATGGATCATGACAATGGAGGTAAAAACTTCACAAGTTTTACGTACCAAAAAATAAGTATATATATCTCAGAAAGATATATAACGAGATCGAGGTTAGAGATGTAATCTAAAATGGGTTTCTCAATTTATTGCAGGCTTGCAATAGTCAATCCATAACATATGTACCACTATATGATACCCTCGGTAGGTTAATTAAGATGATTAATTAGTGAATGAGGACCTAAAGAGTATTTGCAATTAACTTAATCAAGATTATTAACTTGAGATGATTTTTTCTTTTTGATAATAACAGGTGCTAACGCGGTGGAATTCATCATTAATCATGCTGAAATTTCTCTCGTCTTCGTTCAAGAGAAAAAAATTCCCTCCGTACTCTCTCTACTTCACTCGTGTTTATATTTTAACGAAGTTGATTCGATTTAGATTAACTTTTTAATTACCTCGTCAAGCCTCTCTAACTTCTGCTTGGTTTCCTAATTTTTGTTTTTCAGATTCTATCCTCCTTGACTAAGTGTTCTTCCTATTTAAAAAGTGAGTCTAATGTACTCCCGGATCGATCCAATTCTCATATATTCCTATCTTAATTTATGTGAAATTTCAATATGATTTTCATATTTCAATTATTTTCTTTCGGAATTTATCAATTGAGAGTTGAATAAAAAACATTCGATAAAAATATTGACTAATTTTTTTTTCATTCTGTATTAGCTATCGTGAGCTTTACAAGTATCTCTAGCGCAGAGAAGAAGGAAGCTGAAGAACATGGAGTAACCCTTTTTTCTTGGGATGAGTTTTCTCAGCTGGTAAAATACACACACACATATATCTGTCTATTCATTTATGTATATGTATATGTGATTCATGAACGTGGGTTCAATTTCTATAAGCATTTACCCTTGAATCCACCATATCGACCAGGGAAATTTGGAATGTGAACTTCCTCCTAAAAAAAAGACTGATATCTGCACAATAATGTACACTAGTGGAACAACAGGAGAGCCTAAAGGTGTAATCTTGAAAAATGCTGCTGTCATGGCCGAAGTTCTATCTATAGACCAAATGCTTTTCGTCACAGATAGAGTGGTAACAAGTTCAAATCATAACTATATATCCGTGTGTGTGTGTGTGTGTAAGCATATATCCTTTATACTAATATTTTCTTCCTGTTGCAGTGTACAGAAGAAGATACATACTTCTCTTTCCTTCCTCTGGCTCATATCTATGATCAGATTATGGAGACTTACTTCATGTACAAGGGTTCCTCAATAGGGTTTTGGCGTGGGGTAAGATTCAGATTCACATATTTCCTTCTTTTTCTCTTTAATAATTCTATTTTGTTTCAACTTAATCTTGATTCCCGAGTTCTATCCATGTAAATTGATCTTCAGGATGTTCGATACTTAATGGACGATCTTCAGGAACTGAAACCAACTGTACTTTGCGCTGTTCCAAGAGTTTATGATCGTATATATGATGGTATTATATATATATACACATTGTTAAGCTGTTAATCTTTGTTGCTGAAATTTTTTAAGCACTGAAGCTTTTGTGCTTTTAGGTGTGAATGGGAAAATTTCAGCAGCAGGTTTGCTGCAGAGAAAACTGTATGAATATGCATATAGATAGTAAGTCAATACTGAACCCATATAATGTATCTGTCTTTTCTGCAAAATGCAATACTAATGGAGAAGCTACTGACAGCAAATTTCAAAATATGAAAAATGGATTACCACATGATAAAGCTTCACCATTTTTCGACAGGCTTGTCTTTGACAAGGTCAGTCCCCCGAACAATCCTTCATACTTCAAGAAGACCTAATAAATTTTTGCTGATCTAATACTAGTTCTCATTTTTTTTCTTCCTGAAATTAAAACACTGCATTGGTTATGTCAGATAAAACAAGCATTAGGAGGACGAGTGCAAATCCTTTTATCGGGTGCAGCTCCGTTGTCAAGACAAGTGGAGGAGTTCTTGAGAGTCATCTCATGCTCTAATTTGTCACAGGGATATGGTATGATACCCTTTTCCTTCTATCGCTATAACAATCAGATAATAAAAAGAAAAAAATCTGCTAAAATTTCTATCTGCACTAATGTTTTTTCCATCCTACTTGTGATGTTCTTGTAATAGGTCTCACAGAAAGTTGTGGTGGATCCTTTGCATCTATAGCCAATGTATTATCCATGGTTGGAACTGTTGGAGTTCCCATGACCACCATCGAAGCAAGGCTCGAGTCAGTGCTAGAAATGGGATATGATGCACTTTCCAGCACGCCACGAGGAGAAATATGCTTGAGGGGAAACACCATCTTCTCAGGTTACCACAAGCAACAAGATTTAACTGATGAAGTCCTTATAGATGGCTGGTTTCATACAGGTAATTAATAGTTCCTTTTCTCTCTTCTTATTTTTTGTTCTCCCCCTTCATTTATATGGGAGAAATTCAAGGGAAAGTTTGCAGGTGATATCGGAGAATGGCAGCCTGATGGATCAATGAAAATCATTGACAGAAAAAAGAACATATTTAAGCTTTCTCAGGGTGAATACATTGCTGTGGAGAACATTGAAAACAAGTACTCAAGATGCCCTTTCGTCACATCTGTAAGTTTCTGATAAACTTTACAGCATACTATTCAAATTGACTCGAAAACTCAGTTGAAGCTTTTCATCTCTGCTAACTTCAACATTTAATTTCACATGCACAGATCTGGGTGTACGGAAATAGCTTTGAATCGTTTCTGGTTGCTGTTGTAGTCCCTGATCAAAGATCACTTGAAGATTGGGCAGTAGACAATAAACAGGTTGTTGATTTCAAAGTCTTATGCGAAAATTTGAAGGCCAGGAAACACATCTTGGATGAGCTTAATAACACTGGTCGTGAACAGAATGTACGTTGTCAAATAATTTTCAGACAATTCCCCGATCGTCTTTCAATTCTGCTAAGTGTTTTTTCCCCATCTAACATTACAGACCGTTTCTGCAGCTAAGAGGTTTTGAGATGTTAAAAGCTGTACATTTGGAACCAATTCCATTTGACATAGACAGGGATTTGATCACTCCAACATTTAAATTGAAGAGGCCTCAACTGCTTAAATATTACAAGGTTCTATTCTGTCTGCACGCTATAATAAACTTGGCCATGGGATTATGTTTATGGTATTTGTTTATAATCATAATCAAGGCGAAAGTATTTCTGATTTTAAGCTTCTCGTGCTTTGATACCATCTGCAGGATCACATTGATCAACTATACAGAGAAGCCAAGGGATTGAAGGCATGAAGACAGGTCAAGAAGACTAACTTATACTGATATATATATATATATACACACATATATACAAGTTTCTGTCCTTTTCGAAGAAAATAACTTTGTATTCCTGTTTCATCTTGTTTGAGAATCTACAAAGTGAAAATTTGTAGAATTCACGAAAAGTTACGTGTATGTTAATCTTCATAAAGTAGTATGTAAATACCATTGGAGTTTCTCTTTCAAAATTTGAAGAGGATGCAGATGTTTGCCATCTACCATTCCGTTGTTACATTACATTGTCGAGAATTTAATTAGTAATCCATGACGAAAACAGAAAATTCTGTATTTCTACTATATTTTCTGGTTCCTCAGCAGGCAGAAAACTATACCCAGAAATCAGATCCTCAAGCAAACAGAATTCGAGCTTATTTGGTGGCAATCACATAAAATATTTATGAAGGTTTTATTGAAATTAATGAGATCAGACATAGTAGAACCATATTTCAGGCTTTGCACGCAATAAAATGTTGTGAAATTGACAGAAGCGCACTCTAAGAATCAAGCTTTTTTTGACAACAGCAACAATGGCAATGAATCCGGCATGTCACAGAAAATTAATACCATAAAGAAGAGAACTTACACAAAGACAAGACCTGAAAATGGAACAACCAATACTTGTGTACTTACAGGAAGTGAATTATGAATGCCCAGGCAGGGTAGACAAACAGAAGAATTATGCCAACCGTGTTTGATACACCCTTTGCTTTTGTGAAGGAATTTCTGAACCCACCAGATGCCCGGATGTGTTCCTGCAGCAGATAACACGCAATGGCAAGACATATCGCCACACCAACCAAGTTGCTCCTAAAGTTGCTCGCGAATATGCTGGGAGCCACAACTATCAGAAGAATCAAAGCCGCGGGCAGCTCCAGCCAATCTGCAGTTACAATCATAATAAAATTATAGAGTTGTGCTGACGTGGTTTGATTCTGAAAATATTTTGCGTATATTCCATGAAATATTCTGTATATATTCTATGTGAAAACCTTAATACTTTATTTATATTAGAATTTATAATTTTATTGTTAATTTATTCTTATTTTATTATAGTGGAAAAAAAAATTTCGATCTTATTCATGGATGTAGCCGTACTTGTTGAATCACGTTAAATTTTATCTTTTTTATATTTCTCTTTATTTTGTGTGATTGTGTGCTTACTGGGGATTTATTTTCTCAACAATTATAAAGTTGATTTTTATAAAGTTCATGTAGATAATATAGAGTCCGATATATTTCTCATAGATAGACTAACACCAAGCTAAATGCGAAAGAAGGGCATCTTGACCAGTAAAAATTCAAAGATCAGATCTCCAACTCTTATACTATCTTCACTAATAAAGTAGACTAACATATACAACATTCCATCTCAGTGATTAGCTCCCATGAAAGATTTAAAGGAAAAACATTTGTTTGAGAAATGATCAAGTTATGGCAATGAAACGAATGGTGTACCAGGGAAATGTCTCGGGAAAAAGAGACGCAAGACTACTGCAATGAAAGCAATCCACTTCCCAACATCTCCCCTGCAAAATTAAGCATGATATCAGCATTAAAGCTTATAAATAAGTAATGGGTGTGGAAATCACAGAAAGAAAAGAGTCTGACCTGAAGAGGCCGAAGAGAATTGAAGGAAGACTAAAGAAAATGTAGGGGATGAGTAGCGATGTGAGGATGTTTGTTCTCCAGTTTGTCCGATCCAAGATCAACAAGTAACTGCAGTAGAAAGAAGAATAATAGTGTGATAAATCAGATTTCAGATAATTGTAAAAAAAAAACAAAAGAAAATTATGCAAGTAAGGTTGAAGTAAACTCATCATGGAATTTGAAAGAGCTTTTTTTCTTTAACCTTTCTGCAAAATAAACTGGCTAGAAGATTCATTAATCATTACTGCTAAATAATATGCATACGTATATACGTACACGTATACAGAATCGTCTCTTGATGGACTTATGTTGTAATTTAATTTAATAAAAAATTAAAAAAAATTAACAAAAGTGTTATGAAACTAAAAGCAATCAACTTTGAGGTATTAAAGCTCAATACCCTTTTCAGACAGAATTCAACTCCAATCATATTTAACTTAACCAGAGTATTAAACACATAAATAGAAGTATATATACAGACACATGTATATAGATAGCTGGAGAGAGAGAGAGAGAGAGAGAGAGAGAGAGAGGAATAGATACATGGCGGCAAACGAAGCGAGCCACTCAAGAAAAGAGGTGCCAAAGCCCAACCCACCGAGCCTGATCGCATGATTCGCCAGCTTCTTGGCAGAAACCACAAGAGCCTGCAGATCAGCAGCGATCAAATCACTGGCTTCTTGCTGTTCCCTCATTGCTAAGTAACTTTTCGCCATCTTCAACCCTCCTCTGTCTCCAGAAATATCTCCAGAAAGACCCTAAAGAAGATGAGGAAAAATTAACAAAAAAAAAACTGGTTATAGTCAAAATACAAATCAGAAAGAATCCAAAAAATGGTTACTGCGCGAAGACGCAAACAAGAGTGTGGATTGGCGAATAAACCAATGGGGAAGCTCCAGATATGGCTGTGAGCAGGACAGCGGGAGATTACGACCAGAAACGATCCGCTTGTCGGCTTCCAGATATTGACTTCCACGTGGAGTATTTCTGGATTTTTGGAAACCTACCGACTGATTGATGAACTCTCCAGGGAAAAAGGATGTAGAATTAGCAAATTACATAATTATATTTTAATTGTTGATTTTTACATAATTTAAAATTAAATTCAACACCGACCCTTTTAATAATATTTATTTTTTTAATTGAATTAATTATAAATTTACGAATAAATTCTCTAAATTTTTAATTTTAATATAAACATGGTGTTATTTATAAAATATACCTTAAAAATTCAAATAAATTGTACACTTAAGCTTTGTATATATATATATTTATAAAGTTAGAGAAAATTCATTGCATATAATAAATAAATCCTTTAATTAAAAAAAAATATATATTTTCTTTCTAATTTCTTCAAAGCGAATTACTAAAATGATTATTTAAAAAAAAAAACATGCAATATTAATGCAGTAGCTACATAAAACAGTAGGAAATTTAACGAAGGGTGTCCAGAATGCATTTAATTGCCTCAGCCATGGCTTCAACATAACAAAGGGTAGGCGCGAATCGGAAATAAAGAAAGAACGTTTCCGCCAACATTAGCCTGGGAACCAGTATCGGCGGATCAAATCCCGGAAATGCTTACCCTCCGCCGTTGGATGATGTGACTCTCACCATTTGACCAGAAAGCATGATCTGCCATCTTCCCCACTCTGTGAAGAACCTTATAGTCTTCGGTCACACAACTAGGCTCTAAAAAGAGGGAGGAACGAGTCATGGAGTTGCAGAATGAAGGCTTTAATGGAGGAGTAGAACTTTTTATCTACCATCATCCAGAAGTCAAGAAAACGAAACGCAACATGGCGAAAACATAGTATAAATAAGTAAACTGAAAGAGCAGTCAACTATAAATGTTAGAATGGGATAACCGTGAAAAAGAAAAAGAAAAAGACCACGTTGTTCTTGTTAAGTCGGGCGGTTCAGCTCTGTGATCCCTAAAATATGGACAGGTCAGGAGGTGGTCCGTAGACAGTCTTCCACGAACATGGTATAAGCCACCTGGTACTCTCATCCCCTGAAGAATGGTTATTAGCAAACGTGACTTACATGCAACAACACTGTAGTTTGCATTACAGCTAGGGTATGATTTTACTTCCTTGCAGAAGTAATATGAAACTTACCATGAGAATTATCAAGATTCAGACCCAAAAATTTCCGAGCTGCCTCAGCCAGAAGGAAGGCATCAGGAATATTGTCACCTTCCGAGCAGTAACAAAATAAGCAGGTAACCTTCAACCCTTTTGCCTGATTTGATATCAAAGAAACAATTTGTTATTAGACATTAGTCTGCTAATGTTCCCTGCATAAACTAATCATCCCTATGGGATTAAACAAAGTATCATATTCTACCCCGTTATGTAAAGTAAAATGACTCAACTTTTCTGCATGTTGTATTATTTTCTACACTAACTCCGATGTAGATTAATTAAGTTTATTAACAATAAATACAGCACAGACACCTCCAATCTTTAACATATGAAAGCTCCAATCCGGACCTGTTAGGCGGCAAGGACAATAAATTTAAAAAAAAACAGTGAAGTTCAATAAAACATAAACTACAGTCTAGTTAAAAAGGTAATAATTTAAAATGGCGATAGTTGAGGAGATGTTTAATTATTCTTCCAAAAACAAACCTTGAACGATGAGAAAAGGGAAGCAAAAGGCAAACTTGGATAAAAATCTTCTTCTTCTGGTTCATCTTCGAAGGGAAAACTCTTGTCCTGCATAGCATTTTCTTCCACTACAGCATCTAAATATTTCCAACACCTCTGAGACGGGTTATATTCCTGCAGCCTTTTATATCCAAGTTGTTCACAGTAGTCATCTGTTCCATCAGGATTTGTGGTTGATAGGTAATAAATCTGTGGCCCACTAAAATAAGAACCAAATGATCAATCAATCACATAACAAAACTCAACTGTAAAAAGTGCAAATCCAGCAGTTCACTCAAAATGCCTGAGCAAAGGAAGATGCTCTATTCAAGTGAGTTTCAATTGTGTCCATTTTTTCTTATATCTTGCGCAATTAATTCTCCAATGCAGTTCTTTTCCGTTCAAAATGTTCTCATGACAATGAACCACTTCAACTAG